AACACTGCTCAATAGTCCGAGGTTCTGCTGTACCGAAATAACCTTTGACCGTGTTTACAAAACAGGCCGCCTCTGGGTTTACTGGGTTTACTGGGATATTACTGTGTTTAATAGCAGAGCTCACTCACTGCAACATGACCATCAACCTCGGATTAACCTCTCGCTAGCTGCCTCTGTGAACTGTACCTATCTGCACCTCTTACTCTTCATTTAACATGGAATTACCAAACAGAAACAAAAAGCGTGGCCTTAAATATTTCATGTATGTTACAGCTTCAATTATCATCGGAAAAAGCAAAGTTTATTATTTTGGAAGAGGCCATAAGATATGATTTTGTTTAAGTGGTTAAAGTATTCAATTAATTCCAAGTCATTTCAGCCTCCAGTAGACACGTCAGCAGAGTACTCAGCTTTGATTGTTTTCACAAATAATTGACAGTTTCTTCACCCTGTCGGGGCGATTTCCAATATTTCAACCTAAGCTGTTTACGTCATTTGATTTTAGAGAAGCTGCTTTTGTCAGCTGTTTATTTTTTGAAGACTGTTTTATGTATTCAGTCAACAGCTGTGTGAGAGATTCAAAGTATGTTCTATTAAGAGCACCGTCCTGAATAGAAACGGTTCAACAGCATTCTTATCTGGAGCCATCGTGCATTTAATGCAAATTAAAAAGAAAACAACGTTAATATTGGTCGAAATATGATTTCATTATCAAGAGCAGGATGTAGACTCGGATCAGCGGATTTCTTTTGTGTGATATGACATTGCACTGCAGGTTTACGTAAACATGGTTGTTTTTAGAGAATGGCTCCAAGGTTTGCTGCGTTAGACTGTTCAACAAGCTGCACAGATTCATGCTAAATGTCCCGTCACCACCAGCGTCCCCAACACAGAGCACCTCCTGCAGCGATGGGATACATCTAGCTGATTAAACGTATTGAGTTGTGCTGGTGGAAAATAAGTCTTTTCAATCTCATGTTATTATTTCATGTGTTTCTCTTTGCCTCGTCGGGGGTCTATTTTAGTCTATTTTTTGTTTTTATTTCCCAGACGTTTATTGTATTTGGTCCTAAATTTCAGAAAAGTAAATAAGGTCTGTGTGAAAGGCCCGCGGTTAACCACAGGGAGGGGCGTGGCGTGTGCGTTGCGAGCCGTAGCGCAGCAGCGGACAGCGCTGCCGATTAGCTAATAGGCCTATTAATGCTCTGAAGTTCAAGTTTGGGAACTTTAAAGTGCTAAATCATAGAATAAAAATGTCAGCATTTACAGTACCATGACAAATAAGCTCCATCTGCTGCTGATGATCACGAGATATGACACCAAGCTCCAGGAGACGTGTAGTGGAACGGTCAAATGGTCATTTGTCGTTGGTTTAGAACAACAACCCTTTAATGAAATCGTGATTTCTCTGTTGTAGTTCTAGGTTGGCGCAACGTAACCTGCTAAGCTAATTTGAGGATATACCTACGTAGGCTGCTGGTGGGTGGATGTTACTACCGCGCAAACCACAAGGTCAAAGTCATTAATTTGGCACCAGTTTCAACATCAACATTGTCTAATTGTCATCATCCGCATGGCCACAAGAGGTCGCTCGGCAAGACGAGTAAATGTTAATTAAATTATTTCAACCAATGGTCAGCGCCGCCTAAACTTATTAAACTGTATTTTAAAATACTATCTATTATTTAGAAAAAAAAATCGATGAAATGGAAAAAGGGGATCAGCCTTCATGAATATGGAATTCCAATGTTTATTTGTTCTTATTTTGCGTCCGTGTGAAAGTGATCAGCCTGTTAAATGTATTGGGGAAGTGAATAAATGGGAGGGTTGAGGGAGGCAGTGACACTCAGGAGGAGGAGCAGAAAGGGAGAGAGACAGCGAGAGGGAGAGAGAGAGAGAGAGAGAGAGAGAGAGAGGGAGAGGCGGGAGGAGAGAGGAGGAGGAGGGGCTGTGTTCACTCTATGCGCTGCAGCTCTCAGTGTAAGCATCCCAGTGTGCGTCTCAGCCTGCCGGCGCGAGTGTGTGCATCGGAGCGCCGTCGCGTGCGCGCGTGTGTGTGTGTGTGAATGTGTGTGTGACGCCAGCGCTCTCTCTGCGTACGACAGGTGGAGATGACATGACTGCGCTCGAGAGGAAGAAAGGAAAGGACCTGTAAGGACATCACACACACACACACACTCGCGCGTAATGACCTTTCTACTACATTCCCTCACACACACCCTTTTTAAAATTCCAGCGCTCCTCACTGCAGGGAAAAGATAAGTTGTTGTGTGTGTGTTAAATAACTCTTTCCCCCCCGCAGCTTCCCCCTCAGACGGTAACAGCTGACTCCATGTGTGCGCAGCGGACAACTCAAACACACACACACACACACACACACACAGATGATCCTGACTGTTATTCTGGTGCCTGCAGACGCGGTCAGCAAGTGTTTCTGCGTCCCGAGGAGAGTTCAGCCCTGACTAGAAGACAGTCCACCACGTTGTCCGACCAACTGCAGGTAGGACTCACTCTCCTCTTCCCTCTGATCCGCGTTGTCCGGAGAGCGGGATGCAACGTGCTTCATGCCCTCTGCCGTCCTCTCTCTTCCTTCTCCCTGGACATTTGTTTGTGCATAACCTGTATCAGCTACAGCTGGACTGGGATACATCTGTCCAATAAGCCCCGCTGTGCTGTTTCCTTGTCCAATGTTCTTACTTCTGTCCTCTCGGCTGCTTCTCTTCGTTCCCTTGAGTTCTTGTTTTTGGGAACGAGTAACTTTAGTCAGGAGGAGGAAAGGGCTCCGGTTGCTGTAAGCCTTGTGTGTTTCTCTGTTGATTTAGTAGGTGATGTACTTATTACCTGCCTGTGTGTGTGTGTGTGTGTGTGTGAGGGCTCAGATAAAAGACAGAAAGATAAAACATGACAGCAATAAACATGAAAGGGAGGATATTAAAGACGGTGACGTTGTTTGCACGCCGTTCTTTGCACGCTGTCTCCATTTGCGTGTTGTTTTTGGGAGGTTGTGTCCGTGTTTCAAGCAGCTGCATTTTCGCTTGAGCTTTTGCAGTTTTGTTCTTTCAGAAGCTGCAGCATTGTGCCTCATTTCTTCTGGTCCCTTTCTTCCTCTCTGCATCTGGTTTCAGTGAGCCTCGCTCCTTCTTCTTCTTCTTTCCCGTTGTATGATTTGTGTCCAGCAGATACCTATAATTTAAAATATCTCATGTACCCTCACACGAGCCATCAAGCCGCATCAGTAAGTGTGTGTGTGTGCGTTTGTACACATCTGAGCTCACGAGTGTGTTGTTGGAGCGTGCGTCTGCATTTGGGTTTTGTATTGCTGAGGGATTTAACGTTGCTGGCAGCAAAATAGAAAAAAAAAAAACCCGTCTGATCGGCTGCCAGTGTTGACATGTTCTGCTGGGATACAATTACCTTGATAGATACACGCTCACTGAGACGCACACGGGCAAAAGCGCAAACACACCAATGTCACACAACCCTGTAAGCTAGATGAAGCGTTCATACAAGAAAGGGATAAACAACCACACATTACAATGTCTTCTAGCCGAAATATTTGCTCTATTATTGATGCCATTGCAACTCAGGGCGAATATCAAGTGCAGATACATAGTTTCAACCTTTCTGAACATGTTTCTACACATCTATGTGTGTATCTGTTGCGCTCGTGCGCTTACACACTTCCCAACATACGCATTTCCGCCATCAGCTTTTGCTGAAAGACTTGTCCGACTGCATTCCTCTCTCAGCGCCTTTGTGTGGCGTCATCGACTCTAATTATTATCGGTAACATTGATGGCGTAATAGTGTTAATAACCTGTATTTGTTTAGCAAGTGCGTAGAGAATTAAGATAATGAATGTAAGACAGTGATGAGTGAACCTAAAAAGGCCGCAGCTGCAGGAAAATGGAGCACAAAATAAGACAGACGAGCCACTGGATTATGTGGATGTGAAGATTAGTACCAGCGTTCCCAGCGCGCACATTCATTTAAACCTCAGTGGAGATAATTTGACGCCAGCTAAATATATTCCCTGAAAGTTTGACGTCTTGTGCAAAATGTATTTTTAAAACTTTAAAACTCTCTCAGGCCTGAAGCAAACGAACAGGCTCAACAATGTCCAGCTGTAGCGCCACCTGCAGGAGATGCGTGTTGTTTTTAGGATTAAACGTATGCTTAGAAGACTAATTTCCTTTTTCCTATGAATTGGTTCGTGCGTGTGAGGCGACGAGGCAGGGAAAGCAGCAGGTTAAGCTCTTCTCAGTCGCAGAACAGATGCGGGGATTAATTTTTGTCAGGGCATCGGGGTTGATGCTCGCGAGAGAGAGAGAGAGGCTGCCTAGTCCCAACAAAATGTGTGTGTGTGTGTGTGTGTCTTAGGCACGTACTGTATTTGATAAGCTCTGCTGTTCTGGGTTCAAATCAAACGTATGGTTTTTGTTTCATATTCATACGCACTGTACTTTAATCCGAGCGAGCGATGAGGCTGTTTGACTGAGGCTCTTCTGGTTTCAGCTCCTTGGCCGTTATCTGCGTCTGTCACCCTCATCACTCCGTCATTTAGCTGCACCCGTGTCTGATTTGGCCGAGATGGTGTTAAATGCAATAGAAAATTCCCGGCTCGGTATTCATGCGGAAAAAGGCAGTTTTAACCTGACAAACAACGTTGTAATTAATTACGTGTACATGTGTGTACTTGTGAGTGCGTGTCCTGCACAGTAGCGTCCCAGATGGATTGACCTTAATGGCACCGACGTGTTCCTGTTTGATGGGTTCAGCCAGCTAAAGATTTAAATCTATAATGCTGTGATTTCCTTTTGGGGACAGAAAGGGGGCACTGTTGGCTCTGACCTCACCGGGGGAGGAAAAGGCAAACTAGGATTGACACTAGTGGCACATTTGGGGATTGTGCTTCATCGGTTTCACTTTGCTGGGCTCCGCCTGCCTTCACGTCCTTCCAGCTGGAAATTGTTCTCCTCATCTGACCACAGCGATTTAATAACGTGACACCACTTGGTCTTGGACACACTGCGGGGCATAATAACGGATAATAACAGGACTTGTAACTGAGCTATCGATGTGGCACAAAGACACTTCTATTATCCGTTTTCTGTTTGAAAACATGTCGAGCCGCGGCCCCGGGCGAAGCTTAATTTAAAGCCACTAGAAAGCAATAACAGAGAGAGATCAATTCATCAAAAACGGCATCTACAACAGCCGTACGCCAGTGGAGCTGCGGTCAATATCCCACTTCATCAATTTTTAGTTAGACATGAGGCAATGCAATAATTTTCCCCTACAGATCTGACTTTTTTCATTTCAGCTTTTCATGCGTAATTCTTCTTTTCTACAGTCCATTGGGGAGCAGCACTTTATGCTTGAGATTAAATGCAATGATGCACAGGACCAAGGACCTACGTGGGAAGTGAATTCTGTACCGCGTGTGAGGTGGTGGATGGAAACTCATTTTCACCAGATAGCCTTTGTATTACATGACCCTTAAAAAGGTGCAGAAGCCCGTGCGTGTCATAAAGATCCAAGCGCAGCACTGCAAGCCCAATCCCATAAACGCACAAAATAACACATCAGCCGTACCTGAAACAAAAACCCATTAGTGTAATGCTGTGAGTGCAGTCTTTTAAATGAATGCCAACGATACACGACTCTGGTGAGCGGAAATGCGAAGATGCGTCTATGAAAGCGACATCTTCTAATCTACATGCAACCACATCTGCTTCTCCTCCTGGTTTCATCACATTAATCACTGGTTGAATTAAACCGCCGGGAGCAGAGTTCACAACAATCCCTTCAATCGACGACCCCGTTCTCGACTCCGAACAACCAGGGACTTGATAACAGGTACGACGTAACACGCACGGCTGCAGCAGCGCGGAATGTGCGCATAGTTGACAGCTTAAATTGATCGCCCACTTGGTGAAGGCACAAGGCAGCGGCTGATCCACAGCGCCAGTTGAGTGTGTGTGTGTGTGTGTGTGTGAATCAGCTTGCAGGCAACACGTTTGCGTCTAGATAGTTATTAGAAAGTAGAATTAACGTACACTGAACACGGCTCCGTTTAAGAGCGGTTGAGTGTCATTTGTTCATGTCTCTCGTGTACATTTCTTCGTCTGATCCTCGTGGGCACAGACCAGTCATCAAAAGTCACCCACCTACGCTACGCATGACAGAGAACAAGCCCTCTTCTGTGCAGCAAACAGCGCTGATTCTGAGGGGACAAGGAGACAAGCTGGGCATCTCACAGTAAACATAATGCATCATTGATAATGAGTTAAATAATAAAACACCAAAGTCAGATATCAGCCCTTTGTACTATATGTGAAATTGGATCAAACTCTGGTCTCAACAGAGTAGGAGACTATTAAATATGCATTTGGCTTCTGTACCTCTGCTCTTAAGTCATTGATGCTTTAGAGACAGTATTAGTATGTCATTCTCGAGACCGGCTTTGTTCATGTGCGCTTCACATTTATGAAGAGCAAGTCGCTTTGGGAGTCTGATGGCATCCAGCAACCGAGAGACAGCTGTGTGGTGAGCAAGGGGTTTGCCTGATGACACCAAACGGTACCAAAACCTTCTCATGACACACGCACTATCTAGCCTTGCTGTGAAAAGAGGAGACATCGCAATGCAACAGCATTCCGATGCAACAGCATTAGGAACCAGCAGTGTGACGCCATGACAAGCGACAATTCATCTTGAGGCCATATGAGCTACCGCAACGGCTGCAAAGCAGGTGGGCTCACCTTCTGCAGCGGGGTCAGATTTAGCTGAGAAATAGGCAACGGGTCTTTGTCGTCCAGAGCCATTTGCTGTGAGGAGGCACTTAGGAAATAATTGTGCATGGATTTGGAACATTTTGAGTGGTCTGCTGAACTGCGTCGTGTGCAGGTCTTGAACAAATTTCCAATCATCTGGTTTCCCTGCATCTCTGAGCTTTTGACAGGAAAGCTTGCGTGTTCTCACGGGAGGGTTTTTGCACCAAATAATTACGCCCGCCTTTCACAAAAAGTTAAAATACTGCTGTAATTCCCTCGGCTGCTTACTTTTTGAGCACAATACAGCATACAGTTGTAGGGGAGGTGGGTGTTGTCTTTCAAACCACTTTCTTGTTACCACTGTTTCTCTTCATCTTTCCCTTGTTCCATGTGTCTTCTGGTTTGTAGTCAGTGTCTTGAGTTTAGCGTGGCAATTATTTTCTTCCTCATTGAGGGGAAACGGAAGCTGCGGCTGTCACGCGTGTGACAGTCAGGAATAAAAGTATTTTCAATACATAACTGTCGTATTTCTTTTGGATATGTTCCTTCTGCTTCTGGTTTTCTGTTGTTTGGACTCTCTCTGATAATAAATAGAACATTTGTGTGTCGTATCGGCTCAAAATTGTGTGGCATTTCTTTTTGGCATATTTCATCCGTTCTCCTGCTGTGGTGGCGAGTCTTGTGTTGCAGGTTTCACTGTGGCTGAATGATGCAAATCCAAACA